TCATCTGTAGTGTCGTCAAACTGCTCAAATGAACTTAAATTACACTTTCAGTTTTGATCGTTCAGATAAGAGCAATACATCAATCAAATCTGTTATGTGTCTACTTTTTGTTATGTACACACACACACACACACCAACAACAAACTTGTGTGCTTTTGCAAAATAAGGAAAATTAACAGTGCAGGCATTAAGTCTTTTCTCTTTCCGTGAACTGCTTTTAGAAGCGCGTCAGTAAAATGCGCTGAAACTCCGCGAAAACAAAACAAAACGCACAGAGATGAGACGTGTATCTCTAGAAAGCTTGAAGTGTCTACTTTTAAATGCAGCTCTGCATGTTGAAAACAAGCAATGCTAGATAAAGTAATCAGCATGAAACCAACGCTATGTCTAGTTTCTCAGTCTGATCTCATTAGTTTTAATGCGACCACTCCCACGTGGCATTGTTATCACAAGCGTATGCTTGAGACGCATGCCATATGCAGACTGTGGTCAGAAAAACACGTCACTAAAATAAAAGGAAACTCAGCAAATATTCAACAAAGATGATGATTTATGATATCTATATAAAGCTTGAAACGTCTACTTTTGCATTAACTAATTCAAGACGAAAACAAATGATCTATTTTTATGTAATCCGTATAAAAATAGGACTGGTCCGAATTCTCCTATATCGCCTCACAGTAAGAACACTGTTCATGTGTAAATTTCCAGAAGTGAAAACAAAAGTGGTAAAGGACCCGTGACAAAGAAAGCCAAAGTAGATAAGAAGTGCTCCGAGTTTGCTCAGTAATGTGAGTAATGTGTCATGCCGACAAACTATTAGATGAACATGTAGCCTTCAACTTCATAAAAATGTATAACAACGCCACAAAAGTGGACTAAGATAAAGTAATTCCGCATCTGTCAGTCTCCGCTGATGTCAAGAAGAAGGTCAGGGGTTATAGTAAAATACTGCCTTTTTTATTGTGCTCCTCCCAATCACAAGATGCCTGTCTGCACATTTTTAATGGAAGAGATAGAGATAAAACGATTCACCAAACTCATAATTTGATACAATTTATAATACTAATCTCACGATACGATTTTTTAAACAAAATTATTTGAAACAAATTTAAGGTGAAGAGTCATTTAATGTTTTTCTTAAATGCTGCACATTATTTGAAAAATAATGACTTTTCTTCCGTAACTAAATTGCTATTTAAACTTTAAGATTCAAATTATAAAATTATAATACCTACAAAGGGGCGACCCGGTGGCGCAGTTGGTAGCACGTTCACCTCACAGCAACAAGTTCGCTGGTTCAAGCCTTGGCTGGGTCAGTTGGCATTTCTGTGTGGAGTTTCCCTTGTTCGAGCGGGTTGCCTCTAGGTGCTCCCCCACAAGTCCTTGTGGTATAGGTGAATTGGGTGAGTTGAATTGTCTTGCGTATGTGTGTAAATGAGTGTGAATTGATGTTTCCCAGTGATGGGTTGCGGCTGGAAGAACATCCGCTGCGTAAAAGACATGCTGGATAAGTTGTCAGTTCATTCCGCTTTAGCGACCCCAGATTATTAAAGAGACTAAGCCGAAAAGAATATGAATAAATGAATTGTTATAAAAAAAATTCCAAAAAAGGGATCAATACAAACTAAATAAGACTTATTTATATAAACAAACTAAAACTGTTTCTGTGCTGGGATTTTACATTTTTTTAAAAGAAATATCAGCATATCTGTTTTTTTGGAGTAAGCAGAGGTCTTTGCACATTTACAATGTCCCCTGCTGAAAAAATAAATAAATAAATAAATAAATAAATAAATAAATAAATAAAAATAAAAATAACCTTTTCACTGGGGATTGAGATGGCTGGTGTGTAGAAGTAAACCTTTCCCAAACCTGAAAGCAGCGTGTACAGAGGTAGTCAATTTTCTCTCTGATCCAGGCAAATAGCTATTATAAAATTACTAACTAAATAGAAGAACACAGACAGGAGTTGAACATGATTATGAAGGTGAATAATAAATATTCATTCATAGTTTTTTTGGCCTAGTCCATTTGTCCTAGTCCATTTGTTAATCTGGGGTCACCACAGCGGAATGAACCGCCAACTTATCCAGCATATGCTTTACGCAGCAGATGCCCTTCCAGCGGCAACTCATCACTGGGAAACATCCATTCACACTAACAAACAATTAAGCTCACCCAGTTCACCTATACCGCATGTCTTTGGACTTTTGGAGGAAACCGGAGCAGCTGGAGGAAACCCATGCAAACATAGGAGAACATGCAAACTCCACAAAGAAAGTGCCAACTGACCCAGCAAAGGCTTGAACCAGCTACCTTCTTCTTCTGGCGATCGTGCTATCCACTGCTCCACTATGATTTACAATTATTATTACAGGTATAATTAATTAGTATATGTATCAGTGTGATGCACTTAAAAAGAGATAATCTTGAACATTAAATATTCAATAATATTAAGCAAAATATTAAAATATGTATAAAGTAATTTAAAAAGGAGAGGGTAAAAATAATCTAATACCTGGTTCTGTAACAGAACAACTTTCTCTTTCACTCTGAACAACATCTTGACACATTCGCTATGAAAACACTGATGTACCATGTGATCTACGTAGCACTCCTCAAAGCTAGCGGAGCTGCAAATCATCCGGTCCACGTGGTTTGGCTTATTAATAGTTTATGCGCATAGACATCTGTGCTGATGGTTTCTGTGCATCATATTCTTTGTTCCGTTAGTGTAAGTAAATGTCTTTTTGCAGTATTTGCACACAGTTTGTGTTTGGTCTGGCACTTCACCGATGTAATTTTTCTCTGCCGCCCATCCTTTTGCTCACAGCTTATGTGCAGGTAAAGCGAGCTTGCGCCTGTAAACACAGCACCATATCTGTTCAAAACATGTATTGCAATTTGTTTAACATTTCTACTGATTTGAATCATCTCATATTTTAATTGATTTTCAAGTGACTTATATTAAATCATTACATCCTGAGGAGGAGGTGGAAAAGTTAATCAGAAAGTGCAGAACTCTTTTTCATAAGTATTCACATCATGTCAAGAAGTGTTAGTACACTCCAATTGGTCTTTTTTGTGTAGGGAACTTGGACAATCCCCCAAACCCCTCTGCCTTTTCCCCCTACCCTTCCCCAATCCGATCTCCTTCCTCCCACAATATCTGCTTTCCTCCAGCTAAAACCATTTAAAGTAATGTCCAATTTAAGACATTCCCCTTGAGTGGGTTTCCATTCTTCAGGGGCCTAGGATCTCACTGCCAAAAGAGCTCTTTTTTTCGAGCCCGTTGGGCCTCAACCAGAGCCTGGCATGAGCATCCAGCCCTCTCTTCCATTCTCTCTTCAGTTTTGTCCTCAAACTTGTCGCTTCAGTCACCCCATACTGCACGATTCAGCCCTTGACACAAGTTCTCTCATCCTCAGAGCCATAAAAGCCTGACTTTTTGATGCCTTGGAGCATCTAGCAAATAATACCTGATTGAATTGTGATAAGCAGAAATAATACCTGTTTGCCAACATGTTTTCCCAAACGTTCTTCCTTCCAATAGACCATGTGACTCTTTCTCATTTTCTCAGGTTATGTTAGTTCAGATGCAAGGGCATATTCTCAATTCTTCAGTTCTTCAGATCAAAGGGTCAAGTATTATGTGAAAGAAAAAAAAAAAAAACGGAGAGTGAGAGAAATGTTGCTGTGTTCATATGAGTAGGTGGGGGAGCGAAAAATATCTGCCCTTTATTCTGTCAACCTCTTTGTTCTGTCACCCCCACCGGGAATTCTCCTATTCATGAGCTGCTTGCTTTTAATGTAAAATAATCCTCTCAATTAGGTATTAGTGACATTAATTGGCCCCAGTGTAATTGTCCCTTCACAGATGAGAGCTCCCAGCATGCCCACGAGGAGAAGGAGAGAGAGAGAGAGAGCTTGCTTTCTGCTCTTCCCTCCGTCCTCCACACCACTGGACAGAAGCCAACAACAACTCACAAAATCACTTTAAGACTCTGTTAAGCTTTGCCAACAGTGAGCCAAGCCGGGTGCCAGCGTACCTGATGAGAAGAAACCAGATCAATCAAGAAAACATTACATGGAGAAGAGAGATGGAGAAATGAGTGTTTAATTATAATGCTTTTTAAAACAGTTTGGCCCAAACTTCCAGATGGTTATTTAGTCAATACTCATTCAACCCTGTAGCTGTAATACCTCAAAGTGGTGTGCTTGGGATAAAAAAACAGCTGGCACAAAAACATTCTGCCTTAAAAGAAACACAGCTTTTTATTCCAAGTAATAAGAAGCATACATAATAAACATTTGATCCAATTTCTTTTGCAATTAGTGCAGTACATTCTACAAACGCCCAGTCTATAGATTTCCCTAAGTCCCAAAAAACTAAAAAGAAAGGCACAATGTGAAATTCGTGTGCTCATAACACATTGACATTTAATTAGGTATAGTTGGGTTCCCCATATATTATCCACCATTACCTAAATCCATAGAGCAGCAAAACAAGGTTCCAACTCACTGTGCATGAGCTGAAGGTATTAAGGATTCTAAATCCTTGATCACCCCATGCATTGACCTGTGTGTGCCTTTGGGATTACAAGCCATGTAGGACTAGTTCTCAGCTCTGATCTCAGCATGTGCTGGAGCCCGAAGGCTCTGCGCATTTGAACTGAGCCAAATACTCAGTATGGCATCATTCAAACAGTGTAGTGCAGCTTTTAACTTCATATGCAGCTCAGAGGTGTTTTCCTCATCCTTCAAGTAGAATGGAAGTTATCTATTCCTCAGTAATTCTTTCCTGGAATGGGGATGATTACACTGAATGGAGTGTTTCTCTCATTCTTTTTGTTCTAACAAGCAGCAAGCAAAGAATTCAATCTTGGGTGCCCTAGAGGTGTGTGTTTGATAGTCAAAATCATTAAAGTGTAAGACATCACATTCAACCAAGTGTGCCTGTTCAATTCAGTGGTCTAATCTCTGTGTTCTTTTTGTAGGTTCATAATAGAAATTTGTTATCTATGGATTTCGATCGGGTAACCAGGACTGAGAAAGTGTATGATGACCACAGGAAGTTCACCTTAAGGATCCACTATGATCATGCTGGAAGACCTACATTGTGGGCTCCAAGTAGCCGGCTAAATGGTGTCAATGTTACCTACTCACCAGGTGGCCACATTGCTGGCATCCAGAGAGGCACAATGTCAGTCCGAATGGAATATGACCAAAATGGGAGAATCACCTCAAAGATATTTGCAGATGGAAAATCATGGAGCTACACCTACCTTGAAAAGGTATGCACCTTTGACTGTAAAGCAATGCAACATCTGGTTAAACTTATTTCAATAATATGTTCTAACCTTGCCTGCATAGGTCCTCTCTCAAGTACAGCCATTGTTACCACAGACAGCTTGACAACTTGATCACTCCTAAGATATCACTGTAAAAAAAGTAAAATACCACTATCTTATTAGAACGAATATCTGAGAAATGCAGCACCTTATAGTGTAACTGAAAAATAGCATGTTGAAATGCTGACAACCCAATACACTGTTTTAAAAGAATTGATTGTTGTGTCTAAACTCGCTCTATTTAATATTTCTTGCCATTCTAAACTGACTACATGCCGGTGAGATCAATAGTCTCAAAGTAAAAAAGAGCAAAGCTCCTTCCTGCTGAAATCTAAACTCCATAATATCCTCCCACTGACCTCCATATAAGGTGACATTATTAAAAATGGTATCAGGAGAAGTGGTGAGGGGGAGGGGTTGATGACTTAATCCTCATTAAATGAGATTTTGCCCTTCTTCATTTTTCAGTCAGTGTTTCAGAGCAGCATATTTGTAATTTGTATGCACCCTGAAGTGATTCTGTGACACCCCACCGTTTGTTGTGCAGTTAGTCATGTGGTGCAATGTGACTCCTGGGTACTTAGTGACCTTCAGTTTTATTGGGTGGAGAGTTTCACATTTAACTATTTGAAGTGCTGTTGGAATGGGTTGGGAATTACTAGCTTCATTAAATCAGCTTACTGAACACCGCTTTGTCATTTTTTTCTTTGGCAGTCCATGGTGCTGCTGCTCTACAGCCAGCGACAATACATCTTCGAGTTTGACAAGAACGACCGCCTTTCTTCAGTAACCATGCCCAATGTGGCCAGACAGACCTTGGAGACCACCCGTTCCATCGGCTATTACAGAAACACATACCGGCCACCTGAGGGCAATGCCACAGTTTTGCAAGATTACAGTGAAGATGGACTGCTTCTGCAAACCATCCACCAAGGAACAGGACGTAGAGTCATCTATAAGTATGGGAAACTCTCCCGTCTGCTAGAAATCCTTTATGATACGACACGGATTGCCTTTTCTTATGATGAATCTGCAGGCATGCTCAAAACTGTGGGGCTTCAAAGTGAAGGTTTTGCTTGTACCATACGTTACAGACAGATCGGACCACTTATCGACAGACAGATCTTTCGTTTTAGTGAGGAGGGCATGGTGAATGCCCGCTTCGACTACAACTATGACAACAGCTTCCGGGTCACCAGCATGCAAGCAGTGATTAATGAAACCCCCTTGCCCATTGACCTCTATCGCTATGATGACGTCTCAGGCAAGACGGAGCAGTTTGGCAAATTTGGAGTTATATATTATGATATTAACCAGATTATAACCACAGCTGTAATGACACACACCAAACACTTTGATGCATACGGAAGAGTTAAAGAAGTGCAGTATGAGATTTTCCGTTCGCTCATGTACTGGATGATGGTACAGTATGACAACATGGGGCGAGTGGTGGCCAAGGAGCTTAAAGTCGGACCCTATGCAAATACCACCCGCTATGCCTATGAATATGATGCAGATGGTCAGCTCCAGGTAGTGTCCATCAATGATAAACCTCTATGGCGCTACAGTTATGACCTTAATGGCAATTTGCATCTCCTTAGCCCTGGTAATAGCGCCAGACTTACACCACTACGCTACGACATTCGGGACCGCATTACTCGTCTAGGTGATGTGCAGTACCGTTTAGATGAGGATGGATTCCTCAGGCAAAGAGGCAATGATTTCTTTGAGTATAACTCTGCTGGGTTGCTTGTTAAAACCTACAACAAAGTTAACGGATGGACTATCAAGTACCGCTATGATGGCTTGGGCAGAAGAGTGTCCAGTCGAAGTACCCAAGGCCACCATCTGCAATTCTTCTATGCAGACTTGTCCAGTCCCACCAGAGTCACACACATGTACAATCACTCAAGCTTAGAAATCACCTCACTCTACTATGACCTTCAAGGCCACCTTTTTGCCATGGAGTTGAGCAGTGGGGATGAGTTCTATGTGGCATGCGACAACATTGGTACTCCACTGGCTGTATTTAGTGGCGCTGGTCTCATGATCAAACAGATTCTCCACACAGCTTTTGGGGAAGTATATTTAGACTCCAACCCAAGCTTCCAGCTAGTAATAGGCTACCAGGGCGGCCTTTATGAGCCCCTTACAAAGCTTGTCCATATGGGCCGCAGAGATTATGATGTTCTTGCAGGCCGGTGGACCACTCCTGACCATGATATCTGGAAGCGGCTCAACAGCGACAACATTGTGCCCTTCAACCTCTACATGTTTAAGAACAACAACCCCTTGAGCAACAGCCAAGAAACCAAGTGCTACATGACAGGTAAGAATAATTTCTTATAAATATTTTTGGAACATACTGAGAAGGACATTATTTGATATACCGACCCATCTCCAAATAGTTATGTGTAGGAATGCAGGGATGCTGGAGTCTATTCCAGCATCTTGAGCCAAAAATTTGGGGGCTTTTAATAATCTCCAAATATCTTTACTGTTACACTTTACCTGCAGCATTCTAAAACACCATAAGTACATGGTGCCAAGAATCCTCCTTGCACAACAGTGATTATTTTTCAGTCTCTCATCCTAGCCCCAGCTTGGGGTGTACTTGCTTCCACATACACAGCTTTTTGAGCAATGACAGCAGAACAAAGTGCCCTTTGTTCTTCATTCAGGTTCGCTCCTCTAAAATATCCCATCAGTCTTTGCTTCCTCAGCCTGTGCGGGAGGTAAATAGTAGTGAATGCTCCCTAGTGTTAGACAAATAACACAAAGGAGTCCATGGAACTAGAAGCTAGGGGCTGATTCACTTTTCTCTCCACTTGAAAGAAAAATCACAGCCTTACTAAAAAAAAAGAAAAAAAGGAAAAAAACTAAATATTATAGTCACATTTGTAGTCTAAAACAGTGAATACATGCTGTTTTTGACTGAAATGAAAACCTTGGTTCATGCCCTTACTACCAAAGGAAATGAATGCTGTAGAATCACAATATTGGTTGTTTATGTTATAACTGCTTTGTTGTGGTTTGATCCATTGAGTATTCTCTTGAACATATTGCAGCCTTGTTTTGTAAAAAAATTCATATGCATCATTTATACTTCAAGTTTATTTGGAGTGCACAGCAACCCTGTGCCTAGCCTTACCTTGGATGCAACAAAACTAAACCTCATGGGAATTGTCTACAACAAAATAAGTTTTTCATAAAGCACCACAAAAAGATTATTATTTACTGTAAATTGTTAGAATGGGTTTAACCACACCGGTTCGAACTGTAGTTCTGCCGAGTGACTAAAATGTTATCAGCATGATGGTACCAAAAAACGGAAATAAGGGTAGTATTAATAGCTTAAAATGTGGGAGAGGGTTGATATTTTGTTATTGTATAGTTTTGCAATATGGAACAAATGAATGTTGATGTTAAATCAAAAGTAATTCACAAATACTTGACAACTGAATTAATCAGTTACAACTAAATTAATTACAAAATAACTATAAAATTATAAAATATGAAATGATAAAACATATATAAATTGTACCCAGCTTAAATGTAAAATTAAAGTTAGAAAGTTAAGAGGTAGAAGAAGAGACACAGGGGGAGGGAGAGAGAGACAACGAGAGCAGGCCCAGAAGTTAGCCTGATTGTAATTGAGTCAGAGAAGATAGGCTCCAGAGGAGGAAAGCAAGAAAGCGCAGAGACAGAAAAGAGGCCAGGAAAAAGAGACAGAGCAGAGTTTTACACCTATTTTGTATCTTTCTTGACCATGTGACTAAAGCCCAAATGCTGAGACATTAAAACTGACCAATCAACATGTGACCACATTGTAAAACCCCCAAAGTCCACATATCAGGCCCTGATCTTATGAGGATCTGCCTTTGGAGTCAGCATGGACCTTCTTGAGTCAAAAATACATTTTCGTCAAATAAACAAATGCATATTATAATTTAGCTTGCAAAATTGATTGTTCCTAAATGCATTGCTGGCTAACATTGTTTGGCTAGCATAAACACTTAATTTTGCTGGTCTAGTTTAGTATTAGTAGACTATCTGGTTAAAATCTGTTGATACTGCTCCTTCAACAGACATTTAACTGACTATACGAAATTTTGCAAGTACGTTTTAACCTACACTAACCCTTAACCCCAACCTAACAGTCTACTTGCTTAATGAGAATTACTTGGCATGTAGATGCAATGTAACTTAAATTCAACATATGAACCATCAAAATAAAGTGTGACCGCATGTACTAGACCAGAACTAACCAACATACTCTAGACGAGTCTGTGCTAGATTTGCTATATGTAACCTTTTTAGCTAGATCTAACATTTGAATTATTCAATTACAATGCACTAGGCCATTATTCAAGATCAGCTAAACATCTTTCAGCTAGACTGTACCCTACATCATTAATGCTAGCTTTGAAGAAGAGAATCTAAAGATTCTGCTGGATATTAGATGCACTTGAGTGAGCCATCAGCCTTTTATGAGTGATGGCATTGACATTTTCATTCCTCTCTGATATGCAGGAGGTCCCTTCATTGTCCTTAATCATATTCATATTTAAAACAACTCTGTCAAGTGACAGAGCCTTAAATAAAGGAGCAGTCGACAGTGTGCACTTCACTGCTACACCAAAGTTTCTTCTATCCATGACTAATGTGCTTTATGCGACAGGGGAAAGACACTAGAAAAGCCATTTGATTTTGTTCAAGGTTCATATTCCAAGTATATCACTGTGTAATCTGATAGCGTACGCTATCCATGCTAATGCTTCTAAATATGCACAAATACCAAAATGCACTTTCTGATTATAGGCAGGGTGACACATTTGGTCACAGCATGACATATGTATGATAATCAAGTGCACCAGCAGTTTCTCACATGCCGGCCCTAAATTATCAGGGTTTTTTGTGTAAACCGAGTGCTACAAATGACCATCTTTTTTTTTTTTTTTTTTTTGGAGATTTGCCACTTCCTGTGGAGGATTAATCATATTTATTCCTGTCTCTGAAACTAGCGTTGCCTGTAATGACTGCGGGAGCTTATTTCAAAAAGCAGCTCACTTGGCATGTGTCCTGATTTGCAGTGAATCGGGCTTTTGTGGTCTACTTCAACCAAATAGAGTAAATTGTTATACAGGCATTAACAGTGAGAGCTGCGGTTGCCTTTTGCTCTTTTCTAAGTCTTTCATCGCATCGCGTTTCTCTTCCGACAGATGTTAACAGCTGGCTGGTGACGTTCGGTTTCCAGCTATACAACGTCATCCCTGGCTACCGCAAGCCTGTCACAGATGCCATGGAGCCTTCGTACGAGCTCATTCACACCCAGATAAAGACTCAGGAGTGGGATAGCACCAAGGTAATTCATCCAATAACAAAACTGTCTTTTTGTTTGCTCACCTCTTTAAAAACACACCTGGCCTTTGACTCCAGCTTTAGACTTTATTTGCAGTAACTTGACCTTTCAGTCTGCCACCTCCCAAAGGAGACCACTGCAATCAAGCCAGATGCTCGCGCGAATGAGCGTGGCCTCTGCTCCGGCTCCATGAGCCGAGGGAAAGGGGTCAAGCTAAAGAGCCCTTGTAATAGGACTGCCATTAGGGAAATTCACTCCAAATTTCCTCTAGCAGCAGCCATTGATTTCAGCTCAGTCTTTCACACTCTTTAGCTTTCTGAAAGATGTTGTCTCCCTTTCTTTGCCTATCTTTATGCCGCCGTGTCTCGATGCACCCTGTTTTTCTCAGTCTCAGACATGCGCTCATTATCGAGCCTCCTTTAAGCCATCTGAATAATTAAGGAGCCAGTTGGACATGGTGGCGGCTCTTCTTGCTGTTGTAAAACACACCTTACCTCTTAAGGTAAAGTCACTCATACCATTATATAAATTTGTAGTTATCCCGGCAACTCAATTATGAGATATTTTGACATAATTGTATAAGTAAATTTGATGTTTCTAATTCATTAAATTGTTTAGTAATTTTTTTACTAAAACTTTATTTTTAAATATTGCATAGGTTTCATCACACCAGACATTCAAATACAAGTACTAGCAAAATATAACATTGATGGTTACTCTTAAATGCATTCTGATGTCTATGGAGATTGCAATAATGATTGTTTTTAAACATATTTGGAGGATGCGCTATGTTTACTTTATTTTTCTCCTAGTTAAACAGCCATTTATGTATTTTAAGAGAAATTGATGAATTAATATGTTGTAAATCCAGCAGCTCTAATCTCTCCACTGCAGCACAGACTAACAGTACGTTCACACCGAAAGCAGCGAGAGCGTCAAAGTAGCTGGAAGTCATTAATTTTCAATGGGAGCCTGCGAAGAGGATCAGCGTCGAGTCTTCGTCGGTATGGGAGTCAAAGAGAGTTGAAATCAACTCAACTTTATGGCAATGAGCTATGACGCGGTTCGGCAAGCAATCGAAATGTTGAAGTCCACCGCTTGAGAGGAATCCAGAGAACACAGTCACTGTGAACTTTGGTTCCAACCACAGGGTTTGATTGTTGCGGTACTCTTTTCTTTAAAAAGCGGGAATCTCATGCGACAATACAAAAAAGTATTGCTGCTTCAGAATATTTCAGACATATAGACACATATTGGATAAGTGTAGCAAAGCCACACCACATGCAACTTGATCTTCCAAAGAGAAATAAATTTGAAAAAAAAAATTGTGCAACATTTTTTACGCTAGAAAGCATGTTTTATGCAGGAATGTAACCAATATGATATGTTGCAACACCCCCTTTTAATACGAAATTAATGTAGTGAAATTTGACACTCTCTGTCTGAAGGCAGACAGCATTGTCTCCAAGGCAGTCAGAGTGACCTTTGATGCTCTCACTGCCTTCGGTGTGAACACACAGTAAGGGGCCAATCTAAATCAAACTCTTTAAAATTATTTAGAAATGGCTACAAGTGTATTGCGCGATGCCTCGCCTTTTAACCACCTGCTGTGCCTCCCGTTTTTGCTGTTGCTTGCTGTGTGCTTGCAGTTGGAAAAAAGTCAACTCGTCAAACTCGTTTCTATCTCCAAACAAATGAAAGCAGAGGCTGATTTTTTGTTGAGTTGACTTTTTAAGATGGAGGAGAGTCTTTTGGTTGCTGTTTTGAGTTTTCCAGTGCTGTATGAGTTAAATCTTGAATTTCAGAATATGATTTTATATTAAAATAGAGTAGAGGAACTATGACGTCACTTTCTAGGCTAATCGGCTGCTAGCATAAAACTGGTTCCCTCGATAAAATCCCTATAGTATTTTCCCATAGGCTTTTCAAAGATTGCAAATAATAAGCTCTGTTCAAACACAGTTCATTACACTTACACGTTTTGTCCAGCTGAATAATCCTAACACCAAAATACAACTTTAAACACATTTAGATCTTAAATGCAAACGCAAGAATTGAACAGCCAACATGCGGCTATAACCAAACTTTTCAAGCCTATTTTTAGAAAAACGATTTAAGACAAAGATTTACTCTCTAGGTTTATTATATTATAATCCACGCTATATATTATAAACAAATAAATACGCAAAAACAAAGACCTATGTGCCTTTTGGATAGTTTTTACGTGGGAAATGCACTTTGTTTTGCTGTACGTTTGTTGTAAAAGTTTTAAAACTGTTTGTATAAATGTGCCTACATGGTATTATCATAAGGCATATTTAAATAAGTGTATCGTGCACGTGCACACAACCCGCTTACCTTAGTAACAGATGACAGAAATGAGGCGTGAGGGACAAGTCTTTATGCCTGCAAGTTCCATCATGGATAGAGAGCAACATTCGATATTATTTTTTTTGTCACATAGTAAAGCGAAAAGCAGCCCATACAGTTACATCTGCTATACATTTTCAGGAATAGTGTAAATATTGCAGTTATGACAAAGTTCATGTGTTCAGACAACGAAAAATCCCTTAATCATATTAAAATGACAGTTAACATGTATGTATTTCTTACACATTTATTCACATGCTTGCATTACTGAGAGCAGGAATGAGACAGGCAGCTTCAGTATTTTCATAACATCGTTAAATTAAAATAAGCAATCAACAAATGAATCTGTCTTTACAAGTGAAGGCATTATTAACACACAATATGAATTCCCAATTATTAAAATACTAAAAACTATAAAATACTATTCATGAATATACTTGAATAACAGACAAATGCAAATGCCCAATGCAAGTGAGCTGTTCTCCAGACCAGTTCAGCTCAATGACATATAATGCCTCCGACACCGCCTGTAGTCCCATTTAGCAAATTGATAGCAGCTGTCTTTTTAAAGAAGTGTAACTGATTTAAAAAATCAAGAGTGTGATGTAACTAATGTGTTTTATGCCGTAAAGTAAAACGTGAAAGTATCTTGAGTTTGTGTTAGCCACAGACCTTATTTAATCAATTTTATTTAAATCCCATTGAAAAACCCATTGACTTTGGGACGAGGGAACCAGAACTGATATGCTAACTGATATGCTAACGGAAATGCTAACTCGTTTCCGGGTTTTTGCATACAAATTGACTTCATAGTTCCTCCACTCTATTATACCAATTTCAACAGCTGATTCAGTTGTTGCCTAGCAACATGAAAAAAAACACCACACTTCTTTTTTTTTTTTTGTCAACAAAAAAGGCAGTGTGGTACGCCTCGCATTTTTGGAATGTAAAAGTAAGTTTGGTGTGAAGAGCCCCTAACATGGCAGCACCCATCACACATCATAGATCAAATAATATAAGAATTATTTGTTTACATTTTAAATACAGCTTTCACAACATCTAGCTACAAAAAAAAAAATGTAGCTAGATGTTGCAACGACGCATAGCTCATGTTCTGTGATTGGTCAATTTGGTAGCGGGGATGAGCATGGGGCATGCTGGGAGCCGTGAGCCATGATGTAGCGACTGTTTAGAAGTGTCGAGTCCTGTGAAGGAGCTCCAGATGGAACGTTTGTTATGTGTTTACCTTATGATTAAAGTTTTTGCCACTGGTTCCCGAATGAGCAAGTAACTTGCAGCAACTTGTAGCGTTCAAAAACAAAACACCCACAAAGAAACTCGACACAGAGTAACATAAAACTGCCAGCTAGTGTTTCAGAAGTGTTAATACAAACACCATGCAGAAGTATAAAGGCATGACTATGTGCAAGGCTGGCGGCATGGGTCACACTGATCACTCGAGACAGAAGTATAAATCAGCCTTTAACTTAAAAGGATAGCTGACCCCAAAATCAAGTTCTGTCATCATTTACACACCCTCTACTTGCTCCAAACCTTTATGAGTTTCTTTCTTTTGTTGAACTTGTGCAGAGAGGCCCAATTGCTTTGTTGATAAGAGCTTCAATTCCATCCATCCAACAGTATTAGCAGCACAACCTCAAGCTATCAAGCTCTATAATAAGCGAGCATTTGAGGCTGAGCGACATGGGTGTGCCTTAGACAGCTGAGATATGAGATTTTAAATGTAATGTGATGGAGCTGTTTGAAGCCGTCAGCCTGGCAGGTTTCGTATGGCTTTCAAAGATTCAAGGAGAACTGAAGTATCCAAAAAAAGCTTTCAAGTTTTAGACACCACAGATTTTGTTTTTATTCAGTCGAGTTGTGAGGGGAAAGCAGTTTCTTTGCGAGAGATGTGCTGGGTTTTGACGGCCGTGTAGATTTAACTTCCTGCAGTGAATTTTTTATTTTTTTTTTTCAAATGATTCTCTTTTGGGAACTAGTCATTATAATTTAATCACAAGCACACTGTCTTTTCTCATTGCGTGTGTTTGCATACAAAGCTGTGTAACTTGTCAGAGTGTGCATTTAGAAAGCCTCTACCAATACAATGCATAAAACAATAAGTCTTGGTTACTTTATTATCAATTTTCATGTTTATAGACTAGTACCAATTGCCAAATCTTAAACATCTGTGAATTAAAATGTAATAAAAAAATACATTTTTAATAATATTAAGTTGATAAAAATATATCGAAATGAATCAATATGATATCAAACCCAACCAATATAGCATTGGATTGCAATTTTGTGTGTCAAATCAAAATCTAAATTAATATCAAATAGAACTGAATCAAGATAGTAAGTGAATTAAATTGCAAGCTTGTTAATAAACATTTATTTTGATGTACATATACATAAATCCAAATTGAATGATTTCAACCTCAAGTTGATGAATCAAATCAAACCAGTTTTGACCTGATGTTTACTTGAATCAGTATTTAATTAAATTATGCCAAGATCAGAACCAAATCAAGTCAAAAATGACCTGATATATGAGGCCTTGAGACGAAGAACCATATAAGTCTATTGTCATGTGATGTGGATGCTGACAAGGGAGTGCGGATTCAAACACA